CAGATGCTGCCAGACCTGCTGAGCTTTTCCAGCAACTTTGTTTCTGAGTTTCTTTTTATAAATGCTTTCTGTAACCAATTACACAATCCCCATCACAATATCATTAATATACCATAAATAGAAATGAGTACACAAGGACACAAGAAATAAGAGCAAGAGTAGGCCATTCAATACAATAAGCAGGCTTTGCCATTCAATTAAGTGAAGGTAAAGTAGTCATAATTCTACCAGACCATGGGGCTGCTCTCCCATTAGGGAGATAACTGGTTGTGGTTTAACCTAAGAGTTACTACATCCCAGGTGAGAGAGGTTGAGAAGGAGAGTCCTTCATAGTAACCTCAACCAGTGTGGTAATTGAACCCACACGGTTGGCATCATTCTGTCCAGCCAACTGAGCTAATAAGTCCTCTTGCAACAAAGGCTAATGCTGACTTTGAGAGTCATTTGAAATGGGATGAATAAGATCCTTTCATCATGATATGAAATCATCCTCAACACCTCCCCCTTTGCATCTTTGCAGAGCTGCCGCTCACATTTGTGCTGAAGCTGGAGGACGTGTGCGTTCAGAGATATGGCTCCATCACCCTGTGGTGTGAACTCAACAAGGTCAAGGGTGACGTCATATGGCTGAAGGATGGGAAAGAGGTCCAACCTAGTCGCAAGTACGTCATCCGAGCTGAGGGGCGACTGCGAGCCTTGACCCTATGCAAAGCGACACTTGACGATCAGGGGGAATACTCATGCGAGTCTAAGGATGACAAGACGGTGGCAAGAGTGTCCGTGAGAGGTCTGTGCTGCCTTGCCTTTGGTTTGACCTTGTGTCCATTCTAAATCACTGAAAACCACCTACATCCAGCTCTAAAACATTATCCATCTCCACCTCTGCTGGGGAATCCCTGTGTCAATGGCATCCCTTCTCTTTCTTCCCAACTTCAGAGAATATTGACCCAACTTACTAAGCCTCTCATCCTGTCTCCTCATCACCTCGACTGTCCTGCCTTTAGGGCCACCAGAATCCGACTCTGTTATCCATCATCCATTCTCTGTGAATATGGGGTCATTCCAAATTCTTACTGCTTGTCTCCATGCTCACCCCCAAACCCTGTTTGCCTATTACTGCTGAGCTCATTCACCTCCACTGGTTCCAAGTCAGGCACACTCCAATTTCAAAATCCGATCCTTGTTTTCAAATCTGCCCATGTCCTCCCCTTCCCTGTCTCTGTAATCTCCCCCAGATCCACACCCCTCCTTTAATTGTGGCTTCTTGAGCACCCCCAAATTAATTGCTCTGCCATTAGTAGCTGTGTCTTAGGATGCCTGAGCCCTGAAATTTTCTCCCTAAACCTCGCTGCCTCTTTCGTCCTTTAAGTTTGCCGGCACTCCTGTGAATCATCTTGGAACATTCCAGAATATTAAAGGGGCTGTACAAATGCTAGTTGCTGGTGTGACTTTCTGGACCACAGCTGTGTTCCCTCTCGTTTCAGTTCCCCGGGTCGTGGAGTTCATCTCTGACCTCCGCAGTATCACTGTGCAGGAGGGAGATGACGCTAACTTCAAGTGCATGGTGTCCCCGGAGGATGTGAGGCTGTCCTGGCGAGTGCATGGCACCGAAATTCCACTGGGTAGCACGAAATACGTGACCTCACGGAACGGCCTGTGTCACATGCTGCTAATACGGGACTGCCAGCTTGCAGACACCAGCCAAGTGATAGCAGAGGCTGAGGGAATCGTCTCCAGTGCCAACCTTCAGGTGCAAGGTAAGACACAACCTAGGGTAGTTGGGAGCTACATTTAACATCACCCTACAGACCCACATTTGCCTAATTCGCCACATGGGTAGGCATGGAGTGAGGTGTGGCTTGTCACCCTGTATAAGATTCTATATTTATGGAAGTTGTTGTTGTAGAGTAATATTGACCCTGGGCAACATGGGATGAAAAGGAAAATTAAAGATTGTGACTTGTCCACTTTCTTTGGAATTCCAATGGAGCTAAAGCAATCCAGGTGTCAGACACCATTTTTAAGATGAGAGATCGTAATTATACAATGATGTGCAAAAGAAGCAATGGTGGTACAAGAAAAAGCTTTTCCTTAGCTTATTTGACTGGACAGCTAGTTTGTGACACAGAGGGATGCTAACAGCGTGGGTTCAGTTCCTACACTGGCAGAGGTTACCATGTCCCACCTGCCCCAAAGGTGTGTCAGAATGTGTCTGAGCAGTTTAATTGGGCTCTTATGGTGTAATGGTAGTATCCTTGCCTCTGAGCTAAGAGCCAGGTTGGAGTCCCACCTGCAGCCAAGGTGTGGAATAACATCTTGGCACAGGTTGATTAGAAAATATCTCAATCCTTTTCCTCACCTGAGGCCTTTACTGTTTTATAATTCATTCATGGGATATGCATATCGCTGCATGGGCCAAAATTCATTGCCTATCCCCATGAAAGAATACTCAAGAGGGCACCAGAGGTGAAGGACCTCACTGAATATGGTAAGACTGTAGAAACTGGGATTGTAACTCACTCAGAGACAGTAAGAACTGCCAATGCTGGAGTCAGAGATAACACAGTGTGAAGCTGGAGGAACACAGCAGGCCAGACAGCATCAGTGGAGCAGGAAAGTTGACATTTCAGGTCGGGACCCTTCTGAAATGGGATGGGGGGGGAACGGGAATGGAGCTCAGAAATAAATAGAGAGAGGAGGGGTGGGGCTGGAGAAGGTAGGTGGGATGGTGATTGGTTAGTGAGGTGGGAGGAGTAGATAGGTGGGAGAGAAGATGGACAGTTTGTGTCAGGTCAAGGAGGCAGGGATGAGAGGGAGGGGTGGTCATGGGATGAGGCTGGAGTTGGGGAGATTTTGAAACTGGTAAAATCCACATTTAGGCCATTGGGCTGTAGGCTCCCAAAATGGTATACGAGGTGCTGCTCCTCCAGTTTCCAGGTGGCATCACGGCGACACTGGAGGCGGCCCAGGGTGGACATGTCACCCACGGAGTGGGAGGAGGAGTTGAAATGGTTCGCGACTGGAAGGTGTTGTCTTTGGCATGAACAGAGCGCAAGTGCTCCACAAAGTGGTCTCTGAGCCTCCACTTGGTCTCACCAATGTAGAGGAGGCCACATCACAATAGAGCACATTGACAGATGTGCAAGTGAACCTCCATCTGATGTAAAAGGCTTGTTTGGTGCCTTGAATGAGGGTGATGGGGGAGGTGTAGAGGCAGGTGTAGCACTTCCAGCGGTTGCAGGAAAAGGTGCCGGGAGTGGTGGGGCTAGTGGGGAGCGTGGAGTGGACGAGGGAGTTGCAGAGAGAGTGGTCCCTATGAAAGGCGGATAGGGGTGTGGACGGAAATATCTCTTTGGTTGTGGGGTTGGATTGTAGGTGGCAGAAGTGGCAGAGAATGATACATTGGATATGGAGGTTAGTGGGGTGATATGTGACAACAAGGGGGATTCTGTCTTTGTTTTTGTTGCGGGGAGGGGATGTGAGGGCAGAGGTGCAGGAAACGCAAGAGATGCGGTTGAGAGCATTTTTGACCACTGAAGGGGGGACGTTGCAGTCCTTGAAATAAGAGGACTTCTGGGATGTTCGGGAATGGAACGCCCCGTCTTGGGAGCAGACGCGGCGGAGGTGGAGGAATTGGAAGTAGGGGATCGCATTCTTGCAGGAAGGCGGGGAGAGTTGGTGGGCTTGAAACGGATGTCGGTTTCAAGGCGGTCACCAGAGATGGAGACAAAGAGGTCCAGGAAGGAGAGAGAGGTATCAAAGATGGTCCAGGTGAACTTGAGGTTGGGGTCAAAGGAGTAAGTAAGGTTAATGAACTGTTCAAGCTCCTCATGGGAGCACGAGGCAGTGCCAATACAGTCATTGGCATAGTAGAAGAAGAGGTGCTCCCGCTGTGGTCTGTTGCATCCGCTGCTCCCGATGTGGCCTCCTCTACATTAATGAGACCAAGCAGGGGCTCAGAGACAAGCACCTGTGCTCTGTTCGTGACAAATGACAACACCTTCTGGTTGCGAACCATTTCAACTTCCCCTCCCACTCCCTGGGTGACAAGTCCCTCCTGCAGTGTCACAATGCCACCCGGAAACTGGAGGAGGAGCACCTCATATTCCGCCTGAGAGCCTACAGCCCATTGACCTAAATGTCGATTTTACCAGTTTCAAAATCCTCCCACCCCCGGCCTCATCCCATGACCAATCCTACCTCTCATCCCTGCCTCCTTGACCTGACAGAAACTGGCATTGTTATCCTCAAAACAGAGAGGAAACTAAATGGAGCTGTTCAAAAATTATGATGGATTTTGATAGAATTAAATGAGTTGAAACTGTTTCCCTGCAGGAGAGTCAGTGACCAATTAGCAAATGAACTCCGGAGAGTGATTAAACCTTTCCATCTCTCTCTGCTCTTGTTTAATTGCTTCTAAACAGTTACATCTTTGACCAAGCTTTCAATTGTGGTGTTTACTCACATGATCCCTGGTGAAATACCATCTTCTGGTATTTGCCACCTCCACTGGTGTGTGGTACTCAGGAAGAATTTCTTTAAAGAAATCCTTGTTTAGCTTTGCGGGGAAGCGATGGCCTATTGGTATTATCACTGGACTGTTAATCCAGAGACCCAGACAACATTTTGGGGCCCGGGTTCGAATCCCACCGCGGCAGATGGTGGAATTATGATTCAGTAAATATCTGGAATTAAGAATCTAATGATGACTATGAATCCATTGTTGATTGTCAGGAAAAACCCATCTGGTTCACTAATGTCCTTTAGGGAAGGAAACTGCCATCCTTACCTGGTCTGGCCTACATGTGACACCAGACCCACAGCAAATGTAGTTGACTGTTAACTGCCCACTGGGCAACTAGAGATGGGCAATAAATACTGCCTAGCCAGAGACGCCCTCTTCCCGTAAATGAATAAAGGATGTCTTAGGTCTATCTAGTGATTATTGGTAGACGATACACCACTCTAGAGCATCTACAGAATTGGCACTATCCTTCAAATAACATAATGGTAGTGTGGCTGGTTTGTGATACAAAGCATTGCCAACAGCTTGGGTTTCTGAACCGGCTGAGATTACCATGAAGGACTCTATTCAATTCCCACCTGCTTCAAAGGTGTGTCAGAATATTCTGAGCAGTTTGATTGGGCTATTGTGGTGCAATGGTACTGTCCCTGCCTCTGAGTCACAAGGTTCAGGCTCAAGTCACACCTGCTCCAGAGATATGTCATAATATCTCTGAACAGGGTGATGAGAAAAATGTCAACATGGCTCATTGCATAATTTCAATGAGTACAATACATTGGGTTAGGTATAATTGGGTTAGGCAGTTGGTACAGATCCATCTCTGAAAACTCAAGCAGATCTCATTTCTTGGCTGTCATGCACATTGAACGTCAGCCGCTTCAGAGCTAATACCTTTTAGACAACATTGATCACCCAGTTGTAATACATCTTTAAGAGGCATGGACTCAAATTTTACTTGTTCAGTATCTGTGAAGTACCTTGGGATGCTTTACTGCATCCATGGTACTATGTAAATGCAAATTGTTTTTGGTGTCACACAGTGGAAATGAGTGGGAATTCCTGTGATGGATCTTCCTGTACTGAGCCCAAGGAATCCACAGTCCTGTTGTAGCCCCTAGGGAATTCAGGAGACAAGGAAGGAAACTGTGTTCCCCTGATTACAGTCCACTGACCTCTGCTTGGAAATGTTATGTGATTTAGTGAAAAGTGTTCAAATAATGTGGCAAGTGTGAAATTGTCCATATTGGCAGCAATTATGGTAAGAGTTTGCAGAACACTGAGATGGAGAAGGATCTGGGTGTTCTTGTGTATGAATCACAAAAGGTTGGCATTACAGGTCCAGCAAATAATCAGGAAAATTATTAGAATGTTGTGGTTTATCACAATATAAAAATAGGCAAGTTATTAGTGATAGGCAGCATGGTTTTGTGTAGGGAAGGTCATGTCTTACCAACTTGATAGAATTCTTTGAGGAAGTGACAAAGTTGATAGATGAGGGAAGGGCTGTAGATGTCATATACATGGACTTCAGTAAGGCGTTTGATAAGGTTCCCCATGATAGGCTGTTGAAGAAAGTGAAGTCGCATGGGGTCCAGGGTGTACTAGCTAGATGGATAGAGAACTGGCTGGGCAACAGGAGACAGAGAGTTGTAGTGGAAGGGAGTTTCTCAAAATGGAGAACTGTGACCAGTGGTGTTCCACAAGATCCGTGTTGGGACCGCTGTTGTTTGTGATATACATAAATGATCTGGAGGAAGATATTGATGGTTTGATTAGCAAGTTTGCAGATGACACTAAGATTGGTGGAGTAGCAGATAGTGAAGGGGGCTGTCGGAGAATGCAGCAGAATATGGATAGATTGGAGAGTTGGGCGGAGAAATGGCAGATGGAGTTCAATCTAGGCAAATGCGAGGTGATGCATTTTGGAAGATCCAATTCAAGAGTGAACTATACGGTAAATGGAAAAGCCCTGGGGAAAATTGATGCACAGAGAGATCTGGGTGTTCAGGTCCATTGTACCCTGAAGGTGGCAATGCAGGTCGATAGAGTGGTCAAGAAGGCATGCGGCATGCTTTCATTCATCGGACGGAAGTATTGAGTACAAGAGTTGGCAGGTCATGTTACAGTTGTATAGGACTTTGGTTTGACCACATTTGGAATACTACGTACAGTTCTGGTGGCCACATTACCAAAAGGATGTGGATGATTTGGAGAGGGTGCAGAGGAGGTTCACCAGGATGTTGCCTGGTATGGAGGGCGCTAGCTATGAAGAGAGGTTGAGTAGATTAGGATTATTTACATTACAAAGACAGAGGTTGCGGGGGGGCTTGATTGAGGTCTACAAAATCATGAGAGGTATAGACAGGGTGGATAGCAAGAAGCTTTTTCCCAGAGTGGGGACTCAATTACTAGGGGTCACAATTTCAAGGTGAGAGGGGAAAAGTTTAAGGGAGATATGCGTGGAAAGTTCTTTACGCAGAGGGTAGTGGGTGCCTGGAACGCGTTGCCAGCAGAGGTGGTAGAGGCAGGCACGATAGCGTCATTTAAGATGTATCTAGACAGCTACATGAATGGGCAGGGAGCAGAAAGATACAGAACCTTGGAAAATAGGCAACAGGTTTAGATAGAGGATCTGGATTGGCGTAGGCTTAGAGGGCTGAAGGGCCTGTTCCTGTGCTGTAATTTTCTTTGTTCTTTGTTTTGTTCTAGTTCAGTTATACAGAGCACTGGTGAGACCACAACTGGAGCACTGTGTACAGTATTGCTCACCTTATTTAAGGAAGGAAATAAGTGTTCACAAAAAGTTTACTAAGCTAATACCTGGAATCAGCAGATTGTCCAATGAGGACAGACTAAGCTTGTATCCACTTCTGTTTAGAAGAGTGAGGGGTGATTTGATTGAAATATAATGGATCCTGAGGGGACTTGACTGGATGTTTCCTTTATGGGAGAATTTAAAACCAGGGGCCACTGTTTAAAAATATGGGATTGCCCATTAAAGCCAGAGATGAGGCTAAATGATTCCTCTGAGAGGGTTGTGAGTTTTTAGAAATTTTTCCTAAAAAGATGGTAGAGTCCCTGAATATTTTTACGGCTTGATTAGCAAAAGCGTGTGAAAGGTTATTGAGGGTATGAAGGAAAGTAGTGTAACAATGCTGTCGCTTTAAAAGGATTATTTTGTTTGGGATTTTTTTGAAGAGAGGTTGTAAACGCAGTGGTATGAACTGGTTACTGAAGCCAGCTTAAGTAAACAATTTAGGAGGCCTTTAAGTTCTTTTTAAAAGTTAGAACAATGGAAGCAATTTGAATGCGAGTGGCCAGCTCTCACAGACCAGGCTTTCTAGTTTATTTCAAGCAGTCAGATGTTGTTTGGGGTCTCGGAAGAGTTGGAAGCTTTGGTGAATGATTCCTAGCTGCATATTTCTCTGGAATTTCTCTTGATTTTTTTCCTCCTGGATTGGAGAACTGCGTACGAATCTGTGTCTGAGTTTGCCTTTTTGCTGTGGGGAAGATTTATAGGACATTATTAAATTGGAACAGTTTTCCATTAGTTTTTATTCTAAATTCCTGTTTCTTTTGTTTGTATTTCAACTATAGTCTATAAATAAATAGTGTTTTGCTTAACATTGAGTAGTTTGACCAGTTGCATCACATCTGGAACACACACTTCACATCTGTCTTTAAAATCAGAAAAAGTTAGGGTCTAGGCTACCCTCTTAACACATTTTGAGGGGGTCTGGTCTGGTCTGTAACAGTATAGTTAACACATAAACCATGGTTTTAATGAATGATGGAACAGACTCAAAGGCTGAATGACCTACTTCTGATCTTGATGTTTATCTGTTCATATATACTATGAAAAAGTAGGAATAGCAACATTTGACAGGTAAATAAAATCAAAATACTGCAGATGCTGAAGCTCTGAAATAAAGAAAGAGAATGCCGGAGAAATTCGGCAGGTTTAGCAGCATCTGTGGAGAACAGAATTAATTTTTCAAGTCTGGTATGATCCTTCATGTACTGGATTCAAAACATTAACTCTGTTTTTCTCTCCACAGTCACTGCCAGACCTGTGGACTTTCTCCAATACAAAACTAAAATGAGGAGGAATTTGTTCTCTCAGAACGTTGTGAGTCTTTAGAACTTCTTGCCGGAGAGCTATGGGGACAGAGCCCTTGTCTGTATTTAAGGATGAGATAGATTCTTGATCAGTAGAGAATCGAGGGTTATGGGGAAAGAGCAGGAAAGTGGATGTGAGCAGTGTCAGATCAGCCGCGATCCTATTGAATGATGGAGAGACCTATTCCTTTTTCTATTTGTTAAGGTCTAATGATCTAAGACCAGGATGATCCAACTGTCGAATGGCCCATGGATACAGAGAATGAGAGCCAACACAGAGTGGGAACTTGCAATTGAAACAAAAGGAAGATGATGATGTATACTCTGTTTTTAACTGTTCCTGCAGAGACCCAGGTTGTATTCACCAGGAAGCTGGTGAGCGTGACAACAGAGGAACGGCAAGATGCTACCTTTGAGGTCGAGGTAAGCAATGAGTTAGCCGAGGTCCAGTGGATGAAGCAGGGGGTGGTCATCCAGCACAGTCCAAAGTTCATGCTGCAGCGGGACGGCAGGATCAGGCAGCTAATAGTGTGTGACACTGTGTTCGCCGACCGAGGGAATTACCGCTGTGAGACTCTGCATGACAGAACGCAGGCCAAACTCAGTGTTGAACGTAAGTACAGACCTGGTTTAAAAAAAAACACAAATCAAGGGAGGGAGCTTAATTCTGTATTGACCCCTGTGCTGATCCGATGTTGGAGTTTTATTGGGAACAGTGAAGAGTGAGCTTTACTCTGTATCTAACACCGTGCTGCCCCTGTCTTGGAAGTATTTGATGGGGGATCAACATTGACGACACTTTACCTTCAGTTTCAAAGTGCAGAGTAAGCATTATTTTTGATGTTTGAAAGAGTAGAGAAAGCTTCACTTTCCATCTAACTCCATCCTGTCCCTGTCTTGGGAGTCTTTGTTGAGGACAATGTAGAGGGACCTTTACTCTATATCTAACCCCACGTTGTCTTATTGTGGGAGCGTTTAATGGGGACAGTGTAGAGGAGCTTTACCCTGTACCTAATCCCACGTATGGGTGTTTCTGTGGATATGTGTGATGATAAAACTGGTCTTTGTTGAGGATGGGGTGGGGATGATGGTGAAATGGATTCAAAGGAACAAAGAACAATATAGCACAGGAACAGGCCTTCAGCCCTCCAAGCCTGCATTGACATATTTTGTCCTTCCATGCTAAAACTGTCTTCACTTACAGGATCTGTGTCCCTCTATTCCCTTCCTAGTCATGTATTCAGCCAGGTGCTTCTTGAATGCTGCTGATACGTCTGCTTCCACCACCTCCTCTGGCAGAGCATTCCTTGCACTCACCACCCTTTGTGTGAAAAACATGCCTCACATATCTCTTTTAAACGTTCCCTCCTCACCTTGAACCTGTGTCCCCTAATAATTGACCCTTCCAACCTGGGAAAAAGCCTCATACTTTCCACTTTATCCAAGGTGACTTCACCTTGCCATGAGCCACCTTGTCAAAGGCATTACTGAAGTCCATGTAGACAATGTCAACCACTTTTCCATCATTAATCATCATTGTCATATTTGGAGGTGACAGTAGAATGGGAATGTGAAACTGGTACTGCAACGCTGCATTTAGCCGAAGCAGTTAAACTAACCATGATTGTGTCCCTGTGATTGTAGCTCGAAGGATATCAGTGAAGAAGCCCCTGGAAGACGTGGAGATCTTTGAGAAGGAAGCTGTCACCTTACAGGTGGAATTATCCCACCCAGACGTTGATGGCGTATGGATCAAAGATGGTATCCGAGTGAAGCCCAACAACAACCGACGGATCAGCTGCACGGGAAGAGTCCACAGCCTCACACTGTCCGCACTGACGCTTGAGGACTCAGGCACTGTCATATTCCAGGCCGACAATGTCCGCAGCACCTCACGGATAACAGTCAGAGGTCAGATTCCCACATCCTGTTCTCAGCCCCCACCACCAACCACCTTTAGGCCTCACACTGGCCATGTCCACACATCACCTGGGTTGGATTCATGGCCGCAGCACACGAGAAGTAGGCCATTCACCCCATCAAATCTGCTCCTATATTCAGTGAGACCATGGTTAATCTAATAATCATTCCACCTTCCTGCCTTTTCATAGAGTCGTAGAGTAATATAGCATGGAAACAGGCCCTTCACCCCAAACTGGTCCATACTGACCATGGTGCCCGTTCAGCTAGTTCCAATTGCCTGCATTTGGTCCATATCCAACTAAACCCTTCTCATCCATGTACCTATCCAAATGTTATTTAAATGTTGTTATTGTACCTGCCTCAACCACTTTTTCTGGCAGCCCATTCCATATACCATTCCATATATCTGCATGAAGAAGTTGCCCCTCAGGTCTTTCTTAAATCTGTACCCTCTCACCCTAAACCTATGACCTCTAGTTTTCAATTCCCCATCCCTGGGAAAAAGACCATATGCATTCATCCTGTCTATGCCCCTCATGATTTTATACACCTCAATAAGGTCACCCCTCATTCTCCTACGTTCCAAGGAATAAAGTCCTATCATGGCCATCCTCTCCCTATGGCTCAGCCTACTACTCCTGGCAACATCCTCGTAAATCTCCTTTGCACACTTTCAAGTTTGACTATGTCTTTCCTATAACAGGGTGACCAAAACTGGACACAATACTCCAAGTGCGGCCTCACAACGACTTATACAACTATACCATAACATCCCAACTCCTATACTTGATGCCTCGTTTGATGAAGGCCAGCATGTTAAACGCCTTCTTCACCACCCTGTCCATCTGTGACACCACTTTCAACAAACTATGTACTCATCCCTCCGTTCCACCACACTCCTCAGGACCTTAATATTTACTATTTAAGTCCTACCTTGGTTTGACTTTCCAAAATGCAACACCTCACACTTATCTGTGTTGAATTGCATTTGCCAATCCTCAGCCCATTTCCCCATCTGATCAAGATCCCTCTGTAATTTTTGATAACCTTTGCTATCAACAATACCTCCTAATTTTGTATCATCCACAAACTCACTATCATGTCTTGTTCATTCACATCCAGATCATTTACGTAAATAACAAATAACAAAGGTCTCAGCACTGACCTCTTTGGCACACCACAGGCCTCCAGTCCGAGAAACAACCTTCAACCATCACCCTCTGCTTCCTACCATCAAGCCGATTTTGAATCTAATCAGCTAGCTTTCCCTGGATCCCATGCAACCTAACTTTCATGACTAGCCCACCATACAGAACCTAGTCAAAAACCTTACTAAAGTCCATATAGACAACATCCACTGCCCTACCCTCATCCATCCTCTTGGTTTTCCCCATAACTTTAGATTCCCTTGCTGATTAAAAATCTGTCTATCTTAGCCATGAATATACTTAATGACCCAGAGTTCTAAAGGAGATAGCTGAAGAGATAGTGGAAACGTTAATGGTGATCTTTCAGGAATCACTAGAGTCAGGGAGGGTCCCAGAGGACTGGAAAATCGCTAACATGACACCCCTGTTTAAAAAGGGAGTAAGGCAAAAGACAGGAAAAATACAGGCCGATTAACCCAGCCTCAGTCGTTGGTAAGATTTTGGAGTCCATTGTAAAGGATGAGATTGCTGAATATTTGGAAGTGTATAGTAAAACAGGGCAAAGTCAGCATGGTTTCATCAAGGGGAGGTCATGCCTGACAAATCTGCTAGAATTCTTTGAGGAAGTAGCGAACAGGGTAGACCAAGGAGAGCCAATGGATGTTATCTACCTGGCCTTCAAGAAGGCCTTTGGCAAGGTGCCACACAGGAGGCTGCTGAGGAAGATAAGGGCCCATGGTGTTAGAGGCCAGGTGCTAGCATGGATAGAAGATTGGCTGTCTGGCAGAAAGCAGAGAGTAGGGATAAAGGGGTCTTTCTCAGGATGGCAGCCAGTGAAAAGTAGAGTTCCGCAAAGGTCAGTGCTGGGACCACAACTTTTCACTTTATACGTTAATGATCTAGATGAAGGAATTGTGGGCATTCTGGCTAAGTTTGCAGACGATACAAAGATAGGTGGAGGGACAGGTAGTATTGAGGAGGTGGGGAGGCTGCAGAAGGACTTGGACAGGTTAGGACAGTGGCCAAAGAAGTGGCATATGGAGTACAATGAGGGAAAGTATGAGGTCATGCACTTTGGTAAGAAGCATAAAAGCATGGACTATTTTCAAAATGGGGAGAAAATTCAGAAGTCTGTAGTGCAAAGAGACTTGGGAGTTCTAGTCCAGGATTCTCTCGAGGTAAACTTGCAGGTTGAGTCAGTAGTCAGGAAGGCAAATGCAATGTTGGCATTTATTTTGAGAGGACTTGAATATAAAAGCAGGGATGTACTACTGAGGCATTATAAGGCTCTGGTCATGCCACATTTGGAGTATTGCGTGCAGTTTTGGGCCCCATATTTCAGGAAGGATGTACTGGCCCTGGAGTGGGTTCAGAGGAGGTTCACGAGAATGGTCCCAGGAATGGAAAGTTTAACATATGAGGAACGTTTGAGGACTCTGGGACTGTACTCATTGGAGTTTAGACAGATGAGGGGGGATGTAATTGAAGCTTTCAGAATGCTGAGTGGCCTGGACAGGGGAGGATGCTTCCATTGGTAGGAGAGCCTAGGACCCGAGGGCACAGCCTTAGAGTAAACAAAAGACCTTTTAGAACGGAGATAAGGAGAAGTTATTCAGCCAGAGAGTGGTGAATCTGTGGAATTCACTGCCACAGAAGGCTGTTGAGGCCAGGTCATTGAGTACATTTAAGACTGAGATAGATAGGTTCTTGATTATCAAGGGGATCAAGGGTTATGGGGAGAAAGCTGGAGAATGGGGTTGAGGAACTTATCAGTCTTGATTGAATGGTGGGCTGAATGGCCTAATTTCTGCTCCTATGTCTTATGGTCTTATGGACCCAGCCTCGACAGCCCTCTGAGATAAAGAAGTCCATAAATTTACTACCCTCTGAGGAAAGAAATTCCTGTCTGTCCCTGTCTTAAATGAGTGACCCCTAATTCTGAGATTCTGGTCCTAGACTGCCGCACAAGGGGCAACAAACATTCTGACTTGTAGAATCTTGCAGCAGAAGTGGAGGTCATTCAGGCCATTTTTTCTTTGCCAGCTCATTGAAAGATCTTTCAGAAAATCTCACTTGCCCCCACAACTTTCTCCCTACTCACCCTTTGTCTACCACCCTGCAAATTCTTTCCTCATGTTGAATCTGCTTCCACTGCCCTTTCAGGCAGCCAATTCTGGCACAACAACTCACTACAACAAAATAAGTTATCCTTATCAGCTCCCATGCCTTCCCCCTCCCAATTATTTTGCCAATTACTGTAAATCTATGTCCCTGTGCTTATCAGAAACCAGAATAGAAGTTGCTGGAAAAGCACAGCAGGTCTGGCAGCATCTCTCTTCACAGTTGCTGCCAGACCTGCCGAGCTTTTCCAGCAACTTCTGTTTTTGTTTCTGACTTACAGCATCGGCAGTTCTTTTGGTTTCTCTGTGCTTATTGCCTAGTTAAAGAGATAGGGAGAGGTGTAGGGGCTAGAGGAGGTTACAGAGATAGGAGGCTTGTGGGGACTGGAGGAGGTTACACTGATGAGGGAGGGTTGTGGAGACTGGAGGAGGTTACAGAGATACGGAGAGGTTTAGGCACTGGAGGAGGTTATATAGATAGGGAGGGCTGTAGGGACTGGAGGAGTTTACAGAGATAGGGAGGGGGCTTTAGGGACTGGAGGAATTTACACAGATAGGGAGAGCTGTGGGTCTGGAGGAGGTTACAGAGTTAGGGAGGGGTGTAGGGTCTGGAAGAGGTTGCAGTGATAATGAGGGATGTAGGGGCTAGAGGAGGTTCCAGAGGTAGGGAGGAGGTTACTGAGATAAGGAGTGGTGTAGGGACTAGAGGAGGATACAGAGGTGTGGAGGGGTGTAGGGACTGGAGGAGCTTACAGAAATATGGAGGGATGGAGGAGCTGGGAGAGGTTACAGAGATAAAAATTTTAGGGAATGGAGGAGCTTACAGTGATAGGGAGGGGTGTTGGGGGTGGAGGAGCTTGCAGAGATAGGGAGGGGTGCAGGGACCGGAGGAGCTAACAGAGATAGGGAGGGGTGTAAGGACTGGAGGAATTTGACAGGGATATGAGGCGTGTAGAGCTTTCCAATTAGAAACAACTTATTGATTTGATGTAAACCCTTTTTTTTAAATAACCTGTGTTAAATTTCCCCTTTGCCTATTCTCTTGGGTGACAATTGCTTTTTCGAGAAATAGAATTATGCAGTTGCGACGTTATTTGAAACTTGTTTTGGCCATGTTTATAGTTCTGTGCATTGTTCTAGTCTCCATTTTGCAAAAGGGATTTGAGTGCACTGGACAAGGGCCAAAATGATTTAGAAAGATGATGCTAGCACCAAGATTATACCAATTAGGAGAGGCTGAACAGGCTGGGCCTCTTTTCCCTCAAAGATAGAGACTGAGGGGTGACATAATTAAAGTGTTGGATAGACTAGGGATAGAGAGAGATGTGGGAGGGATCACAAGGGGCTATTAACATTGATACCACTCTAGGAAATGCAATCAGGTTTTTTGGGAGAAAAATCTTTACATAAAGAGTGGGGAGAATGTGGAACACTCTCCGGCAGAGAATGTCTTTTTTCAGTTCATTCGAAGGTGTGAGTATCACTGCCTGGGCCAACATTTATTTCCCACCCTAATTGTCCTTCAGTGACTTGCTCAGTCATTTTAGAGGGCAATTAAGAGTCAACCACCTTGCTGTGTGTCTGGACTCACATGTAGGCCAGATGGTAAGGTCTGGAAATTTCCTTCCCTAAAGGACATTAGTGACCCAGGCGGATTTTTGCAACAATCGACAATTGTAACTGCCCTTAGACCAGCTTTTAACTCCAGATTTTTATTGAATTCAAATTTCACCACCTACCATGTCTCCAGATCTTTAGCCTGGGGTTGTACAAGAACAAGCGACATCATGTTGAGGTTGTAAAGAATGTTGATGAGGCCACTTCTGGATTACTGTGCAGTTCTGGCAACCTATTACAAAAAGGACATTACTAAACTGAAGAGGATTCAGAAAAAATTTACCAGGATGGTGCCGGGACCGGAGGTTTTGCAAATAGAAATGTACTGGGACTTTTTTCACTGGAGTGTAGGCGGTTGAGGGATGACATTATAGAGGTTTATAAAATCATAGTGGGGCAAAGATAAGGTGATTAGCAAAGGTCTTTTGCCTGTAGTGGGGAAGTTCAAAACTCGAGGGCATTTTTTAAGGTGAGATGAGAAAGATTTTAAAAGGACATGAGGGGCAACATATTTACATAGTGGTTGGTGTGTGGAATCAACTGCCAGAGGAAGTGGTGGATGCAGGTACAGTTATAATGTTTAAAAGACATTTGGATATGTACATGAATTGGAAAGGTTTGGGCAGATATGGGCCAAGCTCAGGCAAGTGAGGCTATTTTAGTTTGGGAACATGGTCGGCATGGACTAGTTGGACTGAAGGGTCTGATTCCATGCCTCTGTGACTGTATGAAGCAAGACTGTCCAGAATGCAGTGCTCTTCTACACCAGAAGATATGTTTGTGTGTACGTTTCTGATTGTGAGTATGCGTGCAGGTGAGTTTGCGTGTGTGCACATACGTATATCTGTGCCTCTGTGTTTGTGTGAATAAGAGGGTGGGCATCTGCATATGAGAGTGTGCTTGTGTCTGTGTGTGTGTCTGTGTGAGGATATGTGTCTCTGTCTATATGTGTCTCTGGGTGTGAGAAGGTTGATGATGAGAGGTGTATTTTCTCAGTGAGGAGAGACTTTACAATTCGCTGTAAAGAGTTTTGGATTGGTACAGACTGGAGTAGGAATTGTTTGGGAGGTGTTTCGAGTGGTCGCAGGCTGGTCAGCTACTGTCACCTGCCATGGTGTCCTCTCACCCTGTCTTGTGGCTGCTCTGTTTCAGAACCCCCCGTGACATTCTTGAAGGAACTAAAAGATCTGCGGGTTCCAGAAACAACTGTTATCACCTTGGAGTGTGAGCTGTCCCGGCCCAATGTAGAAGTCACCTGGTATAAGGTAGGTGGGAACGGACATTCTGTGGTTTCGTGGCTTGAAGACCACTGTCTCTCCCAATGATATTAGGCGCTGTTAGGTGAGCTACATTTGTTTGGTGAGTTTCTGTCAGCCTCTCCTGAAGGTATGAGCTGGGTTACAAGGCCAGGGATGCCAAACACCCACCATCCCTGGCCATTAACCAACAACTAAATGCTTGACCTGCAGGGCATAAGACTGGGCGTATCTTGGTTTGGTCAGATTCCCAAGTAATTGACGGTGTTCACCCCTGGACACTAAACCTTAGGAGATCCCATAATAATGTGTAATCTGAATGGGATGTGGGCATCACTGCCAAGGCCAGCATTCATTGGGCATCCCTAGCTACCTTTGAACTGATAAGTTCTCTCCACCAAATACAATACAATATCCTTTTATTGTCATGTGTACTCCATTGTAGGAGTGCAGTGAAAAGCTTTTATAATGTCTGCCTTTTTATGGCGACAGCTTAGGTACAAGTAGCGAGGTACAATTCTTGGATACAGCAGAGGAATAAAAGTAGTTGCATTATTTACAGAGTTGAAAAATAAGTTAAAAATAGAACATTATTAAAGGATTGACAGTACAGTAAGGTAGGAAATTTCAAAGATATTATAGTGTAATAACTCAGTGCAGGGCCCCTGCACGTGGTCTGACCACCCACATCAGACCCAGTCCAACAGCCGTCCCCACTCTGCACCAAGCCCCAGTCTGCTCCATACTGACACTCAGCTGCTTCAAGATAAGTGCCAGGACTGCCTCCTCCATGCTGGCCTCTGCCCAGGACTCTCTGCCTGCATGATGTTCCAGGGCTCCTTCCCCACATGCTTGAGTTTGGGGGGCACGATGGAGGTGGTGTTGGTGGTGGTGGTGTTTAAAATTTACTGCCAGTTCTGATGACTACAGTGTTTGCTAGGGACAGTGTACACACAGCTTTATTCTGTATCTAACCCCGTGTTGTCCCTGGGAATGTTTGATGGGGACAGTTTTGAGAGAGCTTTACTCTGTATCTAACCTTGTGGTGCTACCTTTCTCTTTATTCATTTTACCTGAACAGGATGACTTGGAAATGAAACCCAATAAAAACATCCGGATTTATTCAATGGGGAGGAAGAGGATTGCTTATTTAGGGAAATGTGGAGTTCAAGATTCTGGAACTTATTCCTGTGACACTGGCGAATGCAAAACCTTGGGCAAGCTGGAGGTGTTTGGTAAATGCCATGATTTGGCCTTGTATTCATGAACTGAATCTTTGGAAATGAGTTTGATTGAAATTCACAATCCTCCTTCAAAGCTTTAATATGTTTGTCATTTTAGTGTCAGCCAGTGTTTGAGTCTGGTAAAACTCTTTATCCCTGAGGGTTTTGAGTGTGAATGTGAGTATTATTATCCTCACCTTCGATCTTCTGTACCTTCTCTTCAAAATCAGTGGCATTCATCTTACAGCAGACTTAAACTGAGTTTGTAAATTGCAGAGCTCAGGCACAGCACAGTCTGTTTCACCTATGTTTCTGCGGAATGTATCCTCGCCTCTAAGTCAATCCAGGCCTGGATTTGAGACTCGCTACCTGCAGGACCCTGAGCATCAAATCCAACCTCTGGGCTAGTAGGAATTTCCAATGCTGGAGTCTGAGATAACAAGGTGTAGAGCTGGATGAACACAGCAGGCCAGGCAGCATCAGAGGAACAGGAAAGCTGACATTTCAGATTTTCTGAAGAAGGGCCCAGACCCAAAACGTCAGCTTTCCTGCTCCTCTGATGCTGCCTGGCCTGCTGTGTTTATCCAGCTCTATACCTTGTTATCTAAATCCAGCCTCTTTCCTAGGGGAGTGCTGCCCTTGTCAGGGGTGCAGTCTTTCCAATAAAACCATAAAGCCAGTACCCATCTGCCTTCTCACCTGGCTGTGAAAAGTGTCTGCTGCCATTATTTTGAAGAGAAGGGAAGTTAGAGCAAAAAACAATATAGCACAGTAACAGGCTCTTTGGCCCACCAAGTCTGCAACAATACATGATACCTTTCTGGGTTAAAAATCTTTTGCCTCTACATAGTCCCTATCCCTCTATTACCTGCCTATTCATGTAACTGTCAAGATGCCACTTAAACATTGCTATTGTATCTGCTTCTACCACCTCCTCTGACAATGCATTCCAAGCACTTTCCTCTGTGTAAAGAACTCGCCTCTCACATCTTCTTTAAACTTTCCCCCTTTTACCTTAAACCCTATGTACTCTAGTAAGTGACATTTCTACCCTGGGAGTAAGACACCGATTGTCCATTCTAACCACACCTCTCATAATTTCCATTCTAACCACACCTCTCATAATTTTGTAAACTTCTATCAGGTTGTCGTGCAGCCTCTTCTACAACTTAAAACTTTTTGAATTACGGTCACTGTTCCCAAAATGCCCTCACTGAAACTTCGATTGCCTGGCCGGGTTCATTCCCCAATACCAGGTCCAGTTTGGCCCCTCCCCTAGTTGGACTATTTACATAATGATTTAAGAAACCTTCCTGGATGCACGTGACCTCCATTCCCCCACCCCTCCCCCCACTAGCAAACCTCCCTGCCAGCATATTGGTGCCTCTCTAGTTTGGGTGCAACCTGTCCTCGTGTAGGTCCCACCTGCCCTGGAAGACAGCCAAAAGATCATCATTACTGAAGCCTTCCCTCCTACACCAGTTCTTCAGCTACTTATTTAACTGTACTATTTAGAACATAGAACTATACAGCACAGGAAGGGGCCTTTCAGCCCATGATGTTATGCCGAACATGTTGCCAAATGAAACTTATTCCTTCTGCCTGCCCTTGGTCTATATTGCTCCATTTCCTGCATATTCATGTGCTTCTCTAAAAGTCTCTTAAACGCTTTATTGTATCTGCCTCCACTGCTACCCCTGGCAGTACATTCCACACTCCTACTACTCTCTGTGTGAAAAACTTGCCCCTCACATCTCCTTTGAACTTTTTCCTTCTCACCTTAAATGCATGCCCCTGGTTTTTGATATTTAACTCTGGGAAAAATATTCTGATTGTCAAGCCTATCTATGCATGTCAATTTCATAGACTTCTATCAAGTCTCCCCTCAGCCTCTGCCGTCCGGAGAAAACAACCTGAGTTTTTCTAGCCTTTCCTTATAGTTCATACCCTCTAATCCAAGCAGCATTCTGGTAAACCTCTTCTGGATCCTCTCTAAAGCTTCACATCCTTCCTGTAATGTGGCGACCAGAACTGAATGCAGTTCTCTAAGTGTGGCCTAACCAAAGAGTTATAAAATTGCAACATGACATCCTGACTCTTGTACTCAATTCCTTGATCAATAAAGGCAAACACGCCTTCTTCACCCACCTGTCTACTTGTCTGGCCACTTTCAGGGAGCTATGGACTTGAACCCCAATATCCCTCTGTACATCAACTTTGTGCCCAGATGCCAGTCTCCGCTCCACTCGCACTCAGTTGGAAGAATAGGTACTGGCTGGTAGTGGCTTGGTGGTGGCCAAACATTGCCACGTCTGCCCCAGGCCCGTTGTGTGAATTCTTCAGGGTAGAGTCTCACTAAAGGATGACCTATGAAGCATTTCATATCCGGCAGCTATTACCAAGAGTGGCGGTACCCTCCCCAGTCTACACCCACAAGGTTATGACTGTATGGACCCATCTCCAAGCCCAAGGCTAGAGTGGCTAGCTCCTTAGAAACAGAGTCACAGGGTCATGCAACAGTGGAGGCCATTTGGCCCAAATGTTTGTGCTATCCCTTTCAATAGGCTGTCCTCACAGCCCCATAAATCTCCTTTAAAATGTTTATTAAATTCTTTATTGGAAGTTCCTACTGAATCTACTTCCACCACCCTTTTAGGCATGTGTTCCAGATCACAATCATTTAGAAGCTTGCTGGGCTGGAGGAATTTACAGAGATGGGGAGAAAGCGAGAGTGCACAGGTATTTGAATACAAAGCAGGTGTTTTAACCAGAATGGAACCGATGTAGGTTAACAGGAACCAGAGATGGTGTAATGTGTGGATGATGTAATAAAGATGTGTGATCTAAATGTGACTTAATAAATCAGTGACTGGATATACATATGTACATAGATGTGTAGCTATGTGTATAATATATATCTTGAAATTTCTGGAGTGATCACCTGGCAAAGCAAAATATACTGGCTACAGCAGCAGCAATGTTGTTTGCAAAGAGCAGGCTGTTTGGATGGAGACCTGAGCCTACAGTACACTCACAGAAAAGTCATATGACCCAAACTGTAGGGGTAACAAAGCAACTGAACTCTTAAGCCCAGAGAATCTGAGACAACTTGTTGATGGAGGAACAACCATTTGCATCCCTGTCCCGCCACACACTTTTTCTCTGAAATTCCTCATCAATGTGTCTGAGTCGAAAATTAATCTAGAAGCTTCTTCATTACTTGTGGAAGCTCCTGAGGAGTATTTCAGAATCTACTGTGCTGTTTCCAGAAAGAAAAGATTTCAGCCAGCCACAACTGATCCAGTAAGAGGATCCAGTGCCAGCAGTTTGTGTGCGCAATGTGACTTTGGCTACAGGTTAACGTTTGGACCAAACCATGAATACAGTGCAGAGTTTCTTTGCCTCTTTGTTTTCAAGAAGGGCATCTCGCATACTTGCATAAAACCTTTTGTTAGTAATTTTTGCTCAAGTAAGTTTGTCAATCAGGTTATTGATAGTTCAATTAAGAAATTTGGCAGGCATGTTGCTAGTGCTAAGCAGATAGAATCTAGACTTATATATGTGGCCAAATCCTCTCCCTGTTTAAATTCAAACATTATTATGATGAGTGGGCCTAGCTAACAATTTAGACAAGCAGGCTCAGTCTAAACAATGGTGCATGTTTAAATAGAGGCAAGACAGTTTGGTTGAATTCCAATTTTCAGAGGTGGTAACGTGGTAAGTTGCCCAAGAGACCATTGCAATGGTTAGGTCTGTTTGTAACTACAGCCTTCATGAGGCAGTAGACGGGCAATGTCATGGTTCAAGTGGGTCATCTTGTGATGGAGTTGGAAGCTCAGCTCATAATAAATAGAGTGACCTGATGTCTAGCCCTGCCTCAGGGAAGAATATCTCAGGGAGTTAGAGGTTCGGGCCTGACTTTAAATACACTGAATGTTCTATCTGTTATGTCCCTACAGAACAGGAAATTCAGATTGTGAAGGAGCTAGAGGATCAGGAGATTCAAGAGAACGACAATGCAGTCTTCGTCTGTGAAGTGTCCCATGCAGAAGTGAAGAGTGAATGGTTACAGAATGGAAATAGAATCAAATCAAACAGCAGTGTCAAAATTAGACAGGAGGGTAAGGAGACGCACAGCAGGTGTTCATAAAGATCACATGAGAAAAATATTAATTTGATTTGATTTATTATTGTCACGTGTACCTAGGTAGAGTGAAATGTTTTGGAGTCCAGAATGATATGTCTATGTGAGGATAACATGGATAGTCAACTGTGGGAACTGAGTTCAAATTTAACCATGTTCATTATTTCATGTGAAATAATGCAATACAGACAAAAATTACTCTGTATCTAACCCCATGCTGTACATAGTATCCCTAGTATCCCTACAGTGTAGAAACAGGCCATTCGGCTCAACAAGTCCACACTGACCCTCTGAAGAGCATCCCACCCAGACTCACTCCCCTACCCTATCCCTGTAACCCTGTATTTCCCATGGCTAATTCACCTAACCATCCATCCCTGGACGCTTTGGGCAATTTAGCATGGCCAGTCCGCCTAACCTGCACATCTTTGGAATGTGGGAGGAAACCAGAGCACCCAGAGGAAATCCATATAGACGGGGTAGAACATGCAGACTCCACACAGTTGCCCGAGGGTGGATTTGAACCTGGATCAGGTGAGGTGGCAGTGCTAGCCACTGACCCACTGCACTGCTCCATGCAATAAATCACAACATATCGATTGCCTTCCTGAACAGTTGGTATATCGAACTGTAAATTTTTTTGTGATTCATATACCAGGACACCCACATTCTCTGTACCTCTGATTACTTCAATTTCCATCCATATAAATAATGGTCTAGATTTTCCAATCAGGATTGGAAACTTTTCACATCCTGGACTCAAATCCACCTTTGAAATGGAGCTGTTAAATGAATTCCTTTTACTTGATGTGTTAGTTATGAAATCTACCATGGATTTTCTTACTACTGTGTACCACAAACCTACCCTCACTGGACAATATATGTATTGAGATCCCTACAGTTCCACACAATTTAAGACTGCCGTTATCAGAAGCTTCATAAACAGAGTTCAAGCCATTTGCTCACTGTACAAGTTTGATGCTGAAATAGTGCACATCAAAGCCATCCCCTGTGAGGTAGTGGCTATCCTTATCAGAGAATTTCTCACTGTAAGCAGTGCTACAGAGCCTAAGGCCACCACTTCTGGTCCTGAAAAATACCATCTGAGGCGAAAGTATCTCAAAATTTGAGCAACTGGCAAAACCAACTACATACAGTAGCAAGATGAGTGATGTTCACCACTAACAGGATACTGCCATCAAACCAAAACCAAAATAACTTTCGGCCAGTCATGCAAATGAGTAATGTGATTTATGAAGTTCAGTGCCAGTGTGATCCTGCGTGTGTAGGCTGTGTCCCTTAAAGACTAGCAGATTGCATTGAACAGCATGTTACTTCACCTGTTCACAACACGCAAGATATTGACTGTACCCAATCAGTCCATGCTGACGAAAATCTAAGCAGTGTCCAACATTGGATGGGATTTTGCAATTGGTTAATATTGTAAATATTCCTGATTTTGCTCAGAATATGGTTGACAACCATCTTAAGAATGTCAGCCAACTAAGAACAATACAGCACAGGAAGAGGCCCTTCAGCCCTCCAATCCTGCACTGACACATTTTGCCCTTCCATACTAAAACTGTCTTCGCTTAAAGGATCTGTTTCCCTCTATTCACTCCCTATTCGTGTTTTCGTCCAGGTGCTTCTTGAATGCTGCTGTTGTCTCTGATTCCACCACCTCCTCCAGCAGCACGTTCCAGGCACTCACCACCCTTTGTGTGAAAAACCTGTCTTGCACATCTCTTCTAAACTTCTCCCCACTGCATCTTGAACCTGTGTCCCTCAGTAATTGACCCCACCACCCTGGGAAAAAGCCTCATACTTACCACTCTATCCATGCCATTCACAACCTTATAAGCTTCTATCAGTTTGCCCCTCAACCTCCTGCATTCCAGTGAAAACAAATCCAATCTATCCAACCATTCTTGACAGCTGAAATATCCCATATAAGGTAACATCCTGGTAAACCTTTTCTGTACCTTCTCCAAAGCATCCATGTCCTTCTGGTAGTGTGGTGACCAGAACTGTGTGCAATATTCCAAGTGTGGTCTAACTAAAATCCTATAAAGCTACAGCATAACTTGTCTATCCTTATGCTTAATGCCCCTTCCAGTGAAGGCAAGCATGCCATACTTTTACTACCTTATCTACCTGCGCTGCCACCTTCAGTGATCTGTGGACCTGCTTGTCGTGGGAGTCTTTGATGTGGACAGTGTCAAGGGAACTTTAGAATCCCTACAATGTGGAAGCAGGCCATTCAGCCCATCAGGTCCACACCTACCCTCCAAATAGTATTCCACCCAGACCCAGCCGCCTACCCTATCATCCTGTACTTCCCATGGCCAGTCCACCTAGCCTGCACATTCCTACACACTACAGGCAATCTAGCATAACCAGTTCACCCAACCTGCACATCTTTGGACTGCGGGAGGAAACCGGAGCACCTGGAGGAAACCCTACAAATATAGGGAGAATATGCAAACTCCACACAGACAGTCACCGTAGGTTGGAATTGAACCTGGGTCCATGACACTATGAGGCAGTAGCGCTAACCACTGACAACTGTGCCGCCCTCTGTATCGAGCCCCGTGGTGTGTGTGTATGTGAACAATAGAGTGTCTGCGAGAACAGATTCAGTTTCCTGATTTTTGGATTCACTCTCCCAATGGGCAGTGATTTTATCACCTTGAGGCGAGTGATCAAATGGAAGCTAATTTTTCTGATTGCCTCATATTTCAAGGTACCAAACATTTCTTGCTGATCTGCAAGGTGAGGGCGGAGGATGCTGGAGAAATTCGATTCAGAGCCAAGAATGCCGAGTCTGTCGCTCGACTAGATGTCAATGGTATTTCAGTTGCTTCTTTCTTGTTCACCTTTCCATTTGCACTCAAGGGTGAGATTCTCTCCTCTGTCTGCACTCAGCCAGGGACCTGCATCAGGAGGAACATGCTCATCAATTCAAGGGAATTGTTCACTCCGGAAGTAGAGCGTACAATCAGACTGAGACTGTTAGTGTGCTATTGAGGGAGTGCTGTACTATCGGATGCTCAGTACTGAGGGAGCACTTACTGTAGAGGGGGGTGGGGGATCAGTTCTGAGGGAGTGTTGCACTGTCAGAGGGTCAGTGCTGAGGGAATTCTGCATTGTTGGACGGTCAGTGCAAAGGGAGTGCTGCACTGTAGGAGGTCAGTACTGAGGAAGTGCTGTGCTGCCAGAGAGTCAGTACTGAGGGAGTGCTGCACTATGGAAGGGCAGTACTGAAGAAGTGCTGCCCTGTCAGAGGGGCAGTGCTGAGGGAGTGCTGCACTTTTGGAGGTTCCATCATTCCGATAAGGCATTAAATTGAAGTTGTGTCTGTTCTCTGGTGGATGGAAAGGAGTTGCACAATTAGAGATGAAGCAAGTTCTCCCCAGTTTCCTGAGCCAATATTTATCCTTCAACCAACATCAGTTAAAAGGATATTGCTTTGGTAATTTATCTGATTACTGCTGTTGGAGCTTGTGGGCATCTCCGAGTAAGGCAGTATTTGTTGCCCATCCCTAATTGCATCACAGCAGTGTCTGCACTTTAAGAATCAGTGACTTTTTAAATGTAGAACACTTTTAAACATCCTGGTGCTGCTTTAGGTGCAGCAGAAATGTATGTTTTTCCTGGGGTGCGATTGGTCCAGGCCGGGGGTACCAGTGTGCACTGGTCATTCTCCCTCCCTTAAACCTGAACCATGAGCAATGGGGAATGGGGATGACGTCTCTTGTTTGAGCTGAAGCCAACAACTGAAGCTGAGCCCAGAGGGGTAGAGGTCTCCTGAGGTTGGCAAACTCGTTTTTTGTCGCTCACTGTGCCTTTGCTTTCTCAGAGTTGCCAGTCAAGATTGTGAAACCTCTGCGGGATAAGACGGCGCTGGAGAAACACAAGGTCATCCTGGAGTGTAAAGTCTCCAAGCCACATGCCCATGTGCGTTGGTACCGGGGAGGTGAGGAGCTCTGTGCCACCAGCAAGTACGAAATCTGCAGTGAGGACTGCTACCGGCAGCTGGTCATCCATGATGTCAGCTTCAAGGATGAGGACACTTACACCTGTGATGCCTTTGATGACTGCTCGTCTGCCAAGCTACTTGTGGAAGGTATGTGGGATAGTCACAGTCCTGTTCTTCCAAGGCCTCAGTGACTATAGGTCAAGCCCCTGGTGTAGCCATTGAAACAGCACACACGCAAATCAGAGCCAAGCCTTTCAGAGTGCATGCACTGAACCACAGAACTCTCAGTAATCAATGATGCCATAGAACCCATTATTGGTCATGCAAGCTCTTCCACAGTTTAAAGCAGTAAATTACAAGCAACTAGATATGTATTATGTCTACTATAGAGGATGAAGATCTGATTGAGGTCTTAAAGGTTATTAGGGAATTAGAAAGAGAAGAGAAACTATTTTTGCTGGTGGGACAAGTCCAGCACAAGGGGAAAAACCTTAAAGTTGAGGCCAGGCTATTCAGGGGCAATGTCAGGAAGCGGTTTTCCCTTATTTTTTCTGGGACCTTGATATTGCTAGCTGGCCAGCATTTAGAGTCATAAAGTCCGAGCGATATACAGCACGGAAACAGACCCTTTGGTCCAACTCGTCCATTCCGACCAGATATTCTGTATAAATCCAGTCCCACTTCCCAGCATTTGGCCCACATCCCTCAATTCCTATTCACATACCCATCCAGATGCCTTTTAAATGTTGTAATCGTACCAGCCTCCACCACTTTCTCTGGCAGCTCTTTCCATACACACACCACCCTCAGCATGAAAAAGTTGACCCTTAGACCCCTTTTATATCTTTCCCCTCTCACCTTAAACTTATGACCTCTAGCTTTGGATTCCCCGACCCCAGGGAAAAGATCTTGCCTGTTTACACTATCCATGCTCTCATGATTTTGTAAACTTCTGTAAGGTCACCCTTCAGCCTCCTACGCTCTAGGGAAAATAGCCCCAGCTATTCGGCCTCTCCCTATAGTTCAAACCTTCCAACCCCAGCAACTAGTTTCACAACATCCTTATTGGAGGAAGATCAGAATTGCTTGCAATACTCCAGAAGTGGCCAAACTAATATCCTATACAGCTGCAACGTGAGTACTTGGATCCGCAGATAACGAGAAGTGACTATATGTCATTGTTCCTTCAGTGTCACTGGACTAAAATCCTGGAACTACCTTCCTAGGGACATTGCGGGTATTTATTGCCCTAGTTCCCCTTGAGAAAGTGGTGGTGAGCTGCTTTCTTGAACTGCTGCAGTCAAAGAACAAAGAAAATTACAGCACAGGAACAGGCCCCTCGGCCCTCTAAGCCTGCACCGATCCAGATCCTCTATCTAAACCTGTCGCCTATTTTCCAAGGATCTGTATCCTTCTGCTCCCTGCCCATTCATGTATCTGTCTAGATACATCTTAAATGACGCTATCGTGCCCGCCTCTACCACCTCTGC